AGGAAGTCATGCTGCAAACTGGACTTTTCTGACCTTCTCTCCTTGGAAGGATCAACTGAGCTTCAAACTGAGCTGGGGTTCAAACAGGAGGTTTGGATCCACTTTCCCCCAGAGATTGTTTGAGCTTCGCACTGAGAAAGGGATTTATCACCACTACGACCTGTTCAAGTACCGCAGGAAATCTGAGTGGCAGTCAGTTTCTCCGTTCACCTATAACAACCGCATTCTGGGTAAACCCAGTTCCACCCTCCACCGAATCAGACAAACACTGGAACAACAGCATTCAGACTGGAGTCAAAGATTCAACAACTTCTCTGGAAACGTGAGTCAGCAACCAAATCCTCTTCTCCAAGTTCACAAGTCAAATTTCCCACTGAGCCTGAACTAACCGCTGTGTCTTCCCCTCACTTTTCAGTTCCGGCTGAGCAGTGTTCAGAGCAACACTTCTCTCTTAATTATCTCTTCAATAAAACCTGTTAAACCTTTTCCCTGGTCTCCCTGTTTGGTCTTCTGCATTTGGGTCTGAACCTTAGTAAAATCATGACAGTCTCCCTGATTTAGATAGTTGTTCACGGATGCCCGCGAGTCGGATAAATTATCCCGGATTTTAGACTCTGCGTGGTGATGTTTTTTTAATGCGAGTGAGAGCGGGCAGGCAATTATTTGTGCATCACGTGTGGATATAAACTACTTTGATTGCACAGGAACAACTACAGAGAGCGGGGTGTGGGGAGGAGGTTGCTGGTGAAATCTGTGCAGCGTATCTGTTTAAAGCGATGCTCTGTTCAACCAGCGTTCCAGGTGACTGGTTGTCAAAGAGCTGATTGGATCAGTCTTCTCTGGGTTACTCTCTGGCAGTCACCTAGTTACCACTCAAAACTGGGCATCCTGTGAAACGGTAGAGGTTGAATCCTTGAGTATAAAACGAAAATATAGAACTAATTTTACAGCAGAATATACTAAAGTATATCTAGGTCTAGTGAATGTGTGGAACAGTGGCGGACAGTGATGGGAGTAACGGCGTTACCTTTTTTTTAGTAACGAGTAATCTAACTAATTACTTTGACTGTAACTGTAACGCAGTTATCATTGCACGTTACTCAGATCGCACAATTACATTTTTTTTCATGACAGGACTCGTGCACGCCTTGTCATGAGAGAGGGGAGGATGATAATGGCTGATGTATAGTGAGATTCCGTCTGTCAGTTGGGTAGGTGTGTGTTTCTGCTGGCGGGTGTTAACGTACAGCACACACAGAGAGATGGAGAGTGAGGAGGACTCTAGCAGCAAAACAGCGTTTTCCAGATGGAAATACCGGTGTTACGTCAAGCTGCGTTTCCCCATCTGATACGGTTTCCCCTGCATCTCCGCACAGCGCAGGCGACACGATTCACGGCGCAAGATACGGGAAACGCGCATGCTCGCTAAAGGCGCCTAACAGTCACCCTGTGCTCGCGCCACAGGAGAACTATGGAGAGCGTGAACGATCAAATGTTAGCCTATATGGAGAAAGGGAGAAATTGGGACAGATGGATAGACAGATAGATAGATAGATGTTGCAGTATCTATATCAACCCAAACACACAGGATTTCAGAATTAGACATCCCCAGTTATTAATTTCATAAACTCACCAGATCTGAATGCCCTGTTAAAAAACTTCACACCCATGAGTAGAGGTAATGCAGCCTGATGATCGCATCAGATACCATTCCCCCCATGTGAAGCAGGGGAACGCTGTCTGACGGGGTTTTATAGGGCCGTCAGATAGCGTTCCCTCCTGATGTCATTTACATTGAGTTGTAATAAATGCTAAACTCTCAACAGGTTCTTGTCTCTGTCGTCCGCTCTATTCAGCTGGCTTTGAAACACACAGCGAGAAGGGGGGGTGTGTGGTGAGGGTTACGGGGGCGAGAAAAGCTAAAGTAACGCAATAGTTACTTTTACTAGTAACTAATTACTTTTTCAAAGTAACGTGCCCAACACTGGTGGCGGATCTAGACCAAATGCACCAGGTCCAGGAGGGGGGCAGCATGTTTTCATTGGGGCACTGAAAAGCATGAAATATGGTTGTGGGGCAAAGCATCTCCCTGAAATGAGTTTTTGGAACTTGGGATGTCCGGCAACACATGTTGTACATTATGAGACCTTGGGTCCATCTCATTAGGCAGGTTTAATAACCTCACATCTAAATTGATCTAGCCTAATGCTGGGAACTCTAGGTTTTCAGTTTTATGAAAGCCATTATCAGTGGAGCCCCAATTAGACAAGTCACCATGACGACAGGCAACAGTAAGTGCCAATTTCAAGCCACTGGAACAACAGAAATGAAAGAAATAAATGGTGAAAGTGTTTAAAAGACAGAGAAACAGCACTGCAGCTGCAAAGGAGAAGATTGCTGCTTGAGTTACAGTAAGGAAATGAGTATTTGAACATCCTGCTATTTTGCAAGTTCTCCCAATTAGAAATTATGGAGGGGTTTGCTGAAATTCTCATCAAGGTGCATGTCCACTGTGAGACACATGATCTCTGCGACTTGTCAGCCATCCGGCTAGAATCATTCTCGACTGAACTGTAAGACCAGGTTAGTGACTCATGCGTTCATATCATTCAGATTATCGTGGTCACAAACCTTTATTCTTCTGTAGAGGTTCCTGCCTTAGATGCCCAAGCCACAGCCACTTCAGATCCATTCCATCAGTTTTTTAATAAATGGTTTTGCAGTTATCCCACTGTCTGTCTGGCCTGAATACTGGGTCCTCTGTTCTGAGTCATGGCCTAGCAAATCTCTAGACCTAAATCCAATAAAGAATCTTTGGAGGGAGGTCAAACTTAATGCTTCTCAGTTACAGCCCAGAAAGGCCAGAACCCAGACAGCCCTGACTGATCTAGAGAAGATCTGTGTGGAAGAGTGGGCCAAAATCCCTCCTGCTGTGTGTGAATACCAGTGGTGGCTGGTGGCGTTTTCTCCAGGGGAGGCTATAAATTCAAAATAGATCTATACCAAAAACCCATCAAACGTATACTAAGTTATCACACCAGTCTATTTATACAAATGCAATAAAATAACAACAATAAAAAACATAAAACACTTTATAAAAACAAAAGATAATGTCATGTACATGTTCACTTTTTGTACAAAAATCTTGCCTTTCTAAAGCTTTGTGAAGGCAAATGTATTTTGCATGGTCCAATATTAATGTACCAGTTTACTAATGGAGGATGTATTAATCAGCTTTATATTTTTTAACATATAAAAACTATAGATTTTCTGAGAATGACTTTATTTAAGATCAACTAAGCAAATGAGCAAACATCTAGAAAAAGTACACTATATTATATAATTTTCCATGTGAATCCCAAATTGTTCAGTCTTCTTTGCCTTTTCCGAAAAGTGCTTTAAATCACTCCTACCTGTCTTTATCCATGCTGGGTCAGATCCTGACATCAGAAAAAGGAGGCAGGGAAAGCTAAATAGAGCGTTAGCCTCGCTACATGCAGTTAACCACGCCTTCTTGCTAAACCAGGTCCTGGAAAAGGACTTATCTTGTGCCGTTTCTCTCTCTCCAATTCGTCTCTTTGCTCCCACGACACAACCTGTCAATCACCCACAAAACGTCTTTGTTATGGTGGGAGGTGGAGAGCAAATACACTTCCTGTCACCTCAGGTCGCAGCTTAGCTGCGCCCCGAGCCCTCCTATACTTCTGTATTGCAGCGGAGTTACTGCGCATGTACAAATTTAACAAGAGTCTATGGGCAAAGATTTGTGTGCCATAGAAATACCTCACCAATCCGACGAAAAATGGAACTGCGCTTTGCTAGTCTATTTTTCCGTCAAGTTTTATCCCTGCTGGGGTTGTGAGGGTTTCTGGTGCCTATTTCCAGCTGTCTATGGGAGAGATACACCCTGGACAGGTCACCAGTCTATCACAGGGTAAAAAAGAGAACAACCATTCATGCACACACTCACACCTAAGGAGAATTTAGAGAAGCCAATTAACCTAACAGTCATGTTTTTGGACTGTCGGAGGAAGCCGGAGTACCCAGAGGGAACTCAAGCATGTTCAGGGAGAACATGCAAACTCCACACAGAAAGACACTGGTGTGTTTACCTTTAATTTGAGTAAGTTAATGAGTTTGCCAATGGAATTAGTATTTTTAACTCTTAAAATGAGATAACTAGATAATATGCACTTAAAATAAGATAATGCAATTGTGTTTTCATATTTTAAGTGTAAATTGTCTTGTTTGACTGGCAAAATCTGAACAAACTGAACAAAACCTGCTCCTGACCAGGTTATCTATGGGGAGAATATTACTACGGCAACAGAAACAGAGGTTGAGGAAACTCTCTTTTTGAAGCAGAAATCTCAGTTTCCCTGATTAAAGGTTTAAAAAAGCTTTCTGAAGTGGAGCCGTTATCTTTGTCTGAATATAATCAAGGGATTTTCTCACCTTTGTCATAGAAGCTTTTCCCACAGACACCACAGCTGACCCTTCCCTTCCGACCTCCAGCAGGGGTCAGGGAAGGAAAAGTGTCAAAGGAAGATGGGAGAGGATGGAGTGAAGAACTTTGCGATTTAAACTGAAGGAGAGGGGGAGAAAAGGAGGAATAATGAAGCGGTCTAAGGAAAGAAGATGAGAAAGAGGGAAGAGTTTGGGATTTCTGAGGATGATGTAGGTGTGTTGAAGAGGAAGGGTGGTGTGGGGGATATAGTAAAGAAGAAGGTAAAAATGAAAAATTGAAAGGTGAAGGAAGGGAAGCCGTTTTCTGCTGCTGGATCAGTCGTTCATGAAGGAAAACCTCATTGTGATGGAAGATAGGGTTCTCGTGCCACAAGGATGGGTTTGACTTGTCTCTGCCTGTTTTTGTCGATAAAACCGATTCCTGTGCGGTACTCTTCAGGACCAACTCGTCATCTTCCTCACATCCACAACTTTTACAGTCCTGTTTCTGAAGCATTTTGTTCCCACCAAAATCTTGCAGGATGTTTTGTAAGTCAGACATAGTATGTGTGTCCTGCAGAAAGAGGTTCAGTTGAATTTTAGAATATCGGCACTGTAATTACTTCTAAATACATGAACTGCATTACCTTGGTTGAACAGTAGATAGTTGACTGTGGAAAATGGAAAGGTAAGAGCAATGACTGTCCTGCTTGGGCATCTCCATGGCACTCTGAAGTATCTTTTCCTTTGACCAGTGAACAACTTTTTAACACTGATGAGACTTTATTCGGTAGAATATCTGACTGGAAATCTTTTACTGGGGTTTTTGACTCCTGATAGGAGAGGAGTTTTTCACCTTCTGGGTACTGAAGCATCATTAACTCCACAATAGGGCGAGTCTCTCCAAAGCGAAGGAACTGTCCAAGAGCAAGCAGTTCTTCTTTAGGAGTGGCCATGCACCAGCGGTCCAACACTTTCCCACTGGGAGTCTAGAGGAAAAGGCACTTTTTACTTTAGCATGAACATTTCTAAATCTTTAAAATAAAATAAAACCAACTAGGAAATGTTAAAAACAACTTCGTACGAAAGGAGCTGTTAATACTACTCACGAATGCAACAACTACCCGTTAAATACAGCTAGTCCTTGTAGTGTTTGGTGACATGGTGTGTATCACACTCAACATGGACCAGAGGAAAAAGTCCTTTCATGAGGTTAGAAAGGTAAATATTGACCAGCATGTTATATGTTAAAACACCATCTCCAGGGAGCATGTTCCCATGAGAAGGGTTGCAAATATTATTCAGAAATTTAAAATCCATGGAACTGTAGCCAACATCCTAGGAAATTTGATGACAGATCAAAGAGACGGATAATAACAAGCCAAAGTCAACTACATGTTGACAAGTCCTTGGATATCAGTCTGTTGATACTGAATTATGTTTTCTTAGGACTGTATTTGGCACATAATAATACAACAACAATAATGATAATAAAGTTATAATTACAGATAGCAACAGGAGTACTTTTTGTAAATATTTGTAGAAGTAGAAGTAGTACACTCTAAAAAGAAAATGCAGCTCCAATTTAATTATTTTAATTGATAGCAAGTAAATGAATTAAAATTTAAACTTATAAACTTAGTTAGATCAACTTGATTCAGTTACTTGTTCTCAACTTGAAGCAATTAATTTCAAATGGGGCACCCTTTTCTTTTTAGAGGGCAGTACTAACAGGCCAGTACCATTAGTAGTAGTGGTTGCAGTAGTAGCATTTGCATGAACTGCTTTTGATTCTTTTCGTGGCTAGAATTTAAATTAATTTGATGAGGAAGATCAGCATTAAGACCTAAATGTATCTTGAACTTCTTGTCTGGATTTCTTACTATACCAGGGCCAATAGAAAGCACCTTTACATGTACAGGTGTTATTCCAAGTAAAGAACCAGTTATCTACATTTAGCCTTATTAATAAAGATCAAGTTTAATGGCACATTTGTGATACAGTGATTTTGTATATATGATACATCTGCACTGTAAAACTGAATGCTTAAAAATAATTAATAAAAATGAGTAGAGTGAACTTAAAATCCTCTTAGAAGTTCTACTTACTTAAAATGTTGAGTGCCAATAGTTTGCTCCCTCTTTTTAAGTTACCTAAACTTACATTTTGTGATTAACATGAACTTTTTGCAGGTTAAATAACTGGTACTTAAGATAATTACCTCAGAGTTACTTAAAATTATGTGGATTAAACATTAATTTATGGCTTGTTTTTGTTTTTAAAGAACTGAATAAATAAATGAAATTCCGATTTAAATTTGTGAATGTATAAATTCTCTCTCACGCGTGCTTCACACACACACACATGTTGTGTTACAATATCCTTGTGGGGACCTTCCATTGACTTCCATTCATTTCCCACTGATTTATATGGCCTAACCGTGACCCTTGCCCTAACCCTAACCATTACCGACACATACCTATCCCTAAACCTAACCTAAACTCAATTCACACCTTAGTCCTAAACCTAACCTAAACCCCCACCCCAAGAAGAGAAACTTTCCTTATGGGGACCAGTTGTTGGTCCCCACAAGTACCTATGAGTCCCCAAAATGTAGCATATTCCTAGGAAATTGTCCCCACCAGGTATTAAAGACATGGCCACACATCACACACACACTATGAATAAGTAGGCCTACAGTACACACACACATAAATATATTTATATTTTTTTATTTTACCGAAGCAAAAAACAATGGGGTAGACACTTGAAGTTATTGTCTGAAAGTTAATTTAGCTTGTATTTTAATAATTGTAATTTATTTATTGATTTTATTTTTTTTTACTATTAAGTTAAGAGTACTTATTATTTTTACGACAATCGACCACAAATATTTTAAGTTTGGAGAGAAATGATTTTGAGTTGTAACAAGTCTATTTTTTTTGAGTCATGTTTAATGAGAAGATTGAAAGAAAAAACTAATAAATGTTAAGTTAATTTAACATAAAATCCTGTGTCTCCATACTTGAATTCATTACGCTTGCTTGAGTTATTTCAATGAGAAATATGAATAAACATTCTGTGTAGCAGGAACTGAAGAATTTTGAGTTGGCTTATTTGGTAAATTTAATTTAATTATGATTTAAATGTACATTTAAAATAAAATCAAAACATATAAGCTTTGTCATAGTCAAATGTTTGAGTTTTAGAACTCAAAACAATTATGGCAACTGATTGCCTTACGTTTTTTTTGAGTACTGCTAACTTATTCGGTTTCACAGTGTGGGATGGGAAGAGAATCTGAGTGTGCCCACTTCATGTAGGTCAATCTTCCTTGAAGGGTAACTGGCCAGGTAACCAGTTCATTACATGGAAACAGAGTCACATACGACAAACTTCTCCACTGTGCCTATTTTGGATCATGACCCATAAATGTGTTTCTATGTAAATTAAAGTAGATCCATTAACTCAGGATCTTGGAATTTTAAACTACTATGGTTTAACTTTTAACCCCTTGAGCCCTGCGGGCCCAGTACCAGGCCCATCTGACACCTGCTCATGTTTATCTATTTATAGAAATGGCCATAACCAGTCACATGGTGTTTCATCCACACAACTTTCAAAATGGGGCTTTAAAATTTCTAAAACATTTTTTTCACAAATCCTTTTATTTCCATAGCTGTGTAAACAGATAAAATGAGATTTGGAATTCCCTCTGGCATGTCTGATTTTGCGGGAGTAATGCAACAGCAGGTATTCATTTTTAGCCCCACCCCTAATTGGAACTTAGAGGCTCGGACCTTTCCAAGGAGGGGTTCTGCGCCCGTTTCAGGTGATGTAACCGGCATGCCTTACATAAGCTTGCTCTGTTATTCCCATTTTCTGTTCAGTTTGGTGATATTATTGTGTGTTCAGTGGTAAATATCAATGAAATAATGGCTACATCTTACGAGCAAAGGCGTTGTCTTATGCAGAGGGTCTCCAATAATGTAAATCAGCATGACATTTCAGATTTATTTCCAATTTGTAGTTTGGGAGCTGAACGTGCTTTAATTCACATATGTAATTTCAAGCGGAATTTGCTCCTAAGACCCTCTGGGCTTTAATGCAATCGGAAATGAACACATTCTTGTGCTGTGTGATGTGGGACAAATTAAGTAGGATCTCAGGTTGTATTTGAAAGTACCTGCAGCATGTACCCCCGAACATAATCGGCCAAACTCCAGCCCAGACTGTTCAGGATCTGACCCACCTGGAAGGCAAAAGAAATACAATGAAAGAATGTTCAGGAAAGCCGGTTAGCGTGAGCCAGAGCAGCTGTTTTTCACCTGTTCTGGGGACAGAACGCTGTAGAGGCGGTCCAGTAAGATCTTCAGCTGAACAGGAATTGCTTGAGCTCCGAACAGCACCAGGGAGCTCAGGTCAAACACCAGCCCGGGAAGGGCCACTTCCACTGGGCCAGAGCTGGAGGCTGCAGGGGCCTGGAACTTCTCCAAAGCTGAAGAAGAGAATTTAAACCAAAGCAAAGGGAATCAGTCAGAGATGATTTGGGTTCCAGCAGGTTCCAGCAGAAGTCTAAACAACTGCAACAGCTGTTTGTGCTACCACCACAGGCGAACGTGACGAAAAATAGATCTACGACGGTTTGAGGGCAGATGCTTCATCCAGATGCTCCTGCTGACACAATGACAGCAACACCTGACTCCATGTCACCTTAATGCCTGCACCCAGCTGCAGTCTGCACCCTTATAGGGTGTTTCTGTGGCTGATGAGAGCCTTTCTCTGCCACTTAAATAAACGCCTGATTGTAAAATAAGGAAACGGAACGAAAAAAGTGCTATGGAAATCACAAACTCCAATCAGATTTCAATCCCCTATGATGCAGAGAGATGTTTCTGTAAAAGCTTGCAAGACAGCATTAGTTTTGTTTTGTGTGTGATATTCAGCTAAATAAAACAATTAAAACAAAAGTATCTAAAGTTTCTCTTAGAGGCCACTTAGCCCACTCTACTGATTTGCTCAAGGCTTTAGGAAATACCAAAATGTGGCCTTTATTGCTGCTCAACGACTCGTTCATTAGCTGTTCGATGCCCCATCTCCAACAAAAAAAGAAATAAATGAAATAATCCTTTCCTTAATACTTTATATAAAATACATGTAGCTTCTACAGCAGAGAACTGCAGGATTTAAGTCCAGTATGTTGGTACAATGGGGTTTTTGATAAATGTTATCTAAGCTGCCTTCATAAAGAACTCTCATCTTTATCAATATCATGATCCCTTTGAGCCTCCAGAGGAAGATAAATTGTCATTGTCATGATTTTTTGGTCTCCTGCCCCATAGAGGCAGTAAGGCTGAAAGTGAGTCAACAGATTCTGCTTACAGGTGCGTTTTTTTGTTTTTTTTCAGCAGTTCTATCATTGAATTCCACCAAACGGGTCTAAAATGTAGTAAAAAAAAGTGAGTTTCTGACATTATAAACTATGAGGGTGAATTAAAAAGATTTATTGTGTATGTTTGTGTTTCTTTTACCATGTTCTACCCAGCTGTGTCCGCAGAGATCACAGAACCGGAGCTGGACCTTTCTGGGTTTAAAAGATGCACAGCTGCAGGAGGACGCGCCACACCTGATGGACTGGGACACATGGCACAATAAAAATGAAACGATTAATAAAAATTGCATGGATGAACTAACTAAATATTTATATTGAAAAAAATTAAAATTACCTCCTCAGCATTTGGAGTCATCCTCATACTTTTGTCCTGCAAAACAAATACATCTAATGAGCCTTCTGAGGGTCAACTTAATCATTTAACTGTTAAATATGTCGTGTCATAAAACTTAGATTATTAAAATGCATCCTAATTTGTTAGGTGTCAAAAAACCTATGTGAACTGATCTGGATTTTGCACAAAAAGTAGGATCACTAAAAGTAAATAAAGATAGAAAATAATTGTTAACAAAGTTTAATAACTGCAATTTGTCTGTTTGTGGTAATTAGTTTTTTTTAGAATGTCATACAGCATAAATTCATATCCAGCTACATTAATATTCTTAAAAAATATATTTTAACCATGGCTGGAGCGGCTGAG